AAATGCGTGAACGTGCCAATGTAAACAAGAAGTTTTTTTGTGATGAGGATCGACCGCACAGCGGTTTGAACACGTTTATTTTGCCCACCTTAATGATCAAACCGGTACAGTAAATCCAGCAGCAGAGCCAGAAAGAAAACAAATGTGAGGCAAGATGCGTTGATTTGTCTGTTGGTGCTGGAAGCGGGCTTAGATGAAAATACCATCCGATGCACCCATAGGTTTCTGATAGTGCTTCCCTTTTAAGTCCTTATTACTAATCGGTCTCATTTACCTATCGAAGTTCAACGATGTGGAATGTTGTGATGATTAGTCCCCAAAAGAGACAAAGCACAAATACGAGCTAAAACCATTGCAGGATACATAAATGGTAACGAGATGAGTCTCAAATGGGCTTGTTACACAGAAGAATGTCTCCAAACCACTCATCCAACTAAAAACAATAGGTAGGGATAAACCTCATCCCTATTTCTGCCTGGAGAAGAGCTAAGCAAAGAAGCGGTGCAATAAGATGTTTACAGATGATCCCCATGCGCAGGACACGATAAGGTATGCACAGAACACCATCTCTGGGGGAGGTAAGTGGTGCATCACCAGACCGACACAAAATGACACAGGAAGCTAAGAAGCAAGAGGAGCATCTCGCCGATCACGATTGAAACCACCCACCGGATACGGAAGGCATCAGACTATCAGTGCCGAGTCGCGATTCCAGCCTAGGGCAATCTCCACCACACCTCAGGAAATGGAGCAGCCACGACCTGGCCCAGAGGCGGCCCACTGATGACTATAACTCCGGAATGCGACGAGTGGGTGGTGGGCGGTGGGCGGTGGGCGGTAGACGGCGGGCGGTGGGCGGTAGGCGATGGGCGGTACACGGTAGGCAGTGAAGAGTCGTGACCGGTGACCGGCCGACGGCACTATATAGCCGCCGCGCCGCCGGCACTTCCCCACAGTCGGCCGCCGGCGCCGCCACCGACAGCAGCTCAGCCCAGTCGAGCCCAGCTCACCCGCCGGGTGCAGCCGTCACCAGCGCACCGTCCACCAGCCGGCAGAGCGCGGCCGAGCGCGGAGATGAGGGTGAGTAGACAAACGCAGAGGTGTGACGGCCCCGCTCACCCGCGCCGCCCCTTCCGGGACTGTGATGTAGCGGGAAATCGATTTAGCCACATGATACCGAGATAGGCCAGCTGCTGGTGAGTGCTCGTTAGCGAAGCGTGGCTGTGACGATACCTGAAAGAAAGTGAAATTACCGATGGTATCTCGTTAACGCTGAGTTAGTCGAAACTCGCAACAACTTGCAATCATACCGTGACGGCCGGCGGGTTTGATTGTAGTGATTATCATCTCATGGCGATGGTTTCCCTCGCAGGTTTCTCTGATGATCATCCTGTGCGTCGCTGCCGCCACGGCACATCGACACAGAAGGAGTCTAATCGGCGAGCTCGGGAGCACAGAGGGCGACGCTAAGCCGACGATCGCGGGCGATGAGGCAGACAGCAGTCAGGAAGACCTAAAAAATGGTCACACATACGGCACGCCAGAGGATCCTGAGAGCACTGAGGATGAAACTGGCGGTGACACCGGTCTACCGACGAAGGAAAACAGTGAGAAGCTGAAGTCTGTCGACAACCAGAACAATGCCGACAAATTGGAATCTGCTGACGTGAAGGTCGAGGGCAAGGACCAAACGCCAAACGAGATCGAAAATAACGTAGAATTATCAGAGACTAACGTCAAGGCCGAGGAAAAAATCGATGAAGTCCCTCAAAACAATCGTCCAGAGCCACCCACTCCAGCAGAGGACAGAATCTTTGAGGAGACTTCTGATGATACCAATTTAGGCGAGGACCAGCAGGCTGCGGAGGGAAAGCCCTTTGTGACGCTGGCCGATAGACTGAAGCGGGGCTATGAAGAGGATCTGGCCGTGGCCCAGCTGACCGCAGGGTACGGCTTCAAGAAGGGTTCGGGGACGGGCAGCGAGGCTGGAGCCGGCCAGCGCCGCCAGGGAGGACGGCGGGGCGCCGCGCAGAGGGGATCCGGTCGGAGGCCGGCCCCCGTCAGAGGCTACCGAGAGGGACCCGTCCAGGCGGGAGGTCACAGCGGAGGACAGGGCGCCGACAGAGGCTACAGTGGAGCTCAGAATCCAGTCCAAAGTTATAACGGACCCCAGGAGCCCCCTGCAAGCTACAATGGACCAAAGACGACTCCGGAGGGTTATAATGAACCTCAGGAACCTATTGGAGGTTACAATGGACCCCCACAGCCTTCTGGGGACTATAATGGACCCCAGGAACCTGCTGGAAACTATAATGAGCCCCAGGAGCCTGCTGGAGGTTACAATGGACCCCAGGAACCTGCTGGAAACTACAACGGACCCCAGGAACAACTCGGAGGTTATAACGGACCCCAGGAGCCTGTTGGAAACTACAACGAGCCCCAGGAGCCTGCTGGAGGTTACAACGGACCCCAGGATCCTGCTGGAGGTTACAATGGACCCAAGGAGCCTGTCGGAGACTACAACGGACCGCAGGAGCCTGCCGTCGGATACAAAGGACCCCAGGAACAGCTTGGAGGTTATAACGAACCCCACGAGCTTGTTAGAGGTAACAACGGACCCCAGGAACAACTCGGAGGTTATAACGGACCCCAGGAGCCTGCAGGAGGTTACAATGGACCACAGGAGCCTGTCGGAAACTACAACGGACCTCAGGAGCCTGCTGGAGGTTACAAAGGACCCCACGAACAGCTTGGAGGTTACAATGGACCACAGGAGCCTGCTGTAGGATACAACGGACCTCAGGAGCCTGCTGGTAGTTACAACGGACTCCAGGAACAGCTTGGAGGTTATAACGGACCCCAGGAGACTGCTGGACGTTACAATGGACCACAGGAGCCTGTTGGAGGTTACAACGGACCCCAGGAACAACCCAGAGGTTATAACGGACCCCAGGAGACTGCTGGACGTTACAATGGACCACAGGAGCCTGTTGGAGGATACAAAGAATCCCAGGAACAGCTTGGAGGTTACAACGGACCACAGGAGCCTGCTGGAGGTTACAACGGACCCCAGGAACAACTCGGAGGTTACAATGGACCACAGGAGCCTGTCGGAAACTACAACGGACCTCAGGAGCCTGCAGGAGGTTACAACGGACCCCAGGAGCCTGCTGGAGGTTACACTGGATCACAGGAGCCTGTAGGAAACTACAACGGGCCCCAGGAGCCTGCTGGAGGTTACAATGGACCACAGGAGCCTGCTGGAGGTTACAACGGACCCCAGGAACAACCCAGAGGTTATAACGGACCCCAGGAGCCTGCTGGAGGTTACAATGAACCTCGGGAGCCTGCTGTAGGATACAACGGACTCCAGGAACAACTTGGAGGTTATAACGGACCCCAGGAGACTGTTGGACGTTACAATGGACCACAGGAGCCTGCTGGAGGATACAAAGAACCCCAGGAACAGCTTGAAGGTTACAACGGACCACAGGAGCCTGCTGGAGGCTACAACGGACCCCAGGAACAGCTCGGAGGTTACAATGGACCACAAGAGCCTGTCAGAAACTACAACGGACCTCAGGAGCCTGCAGGTTACAACGGACCCCAGGAACAACTCGGAGGTTACAACGGACCTCAGGAGCCTGCTGGAGGTTACAACGGACCCCAGGAACAACCCAGAGGTTATAACGGACCCCAGGAGCCTGCTGGAGGTTATAATGGGCCCAAGGAGCTTGCTGGAGGTTACAACGGTCCCCAGGAGCCTGCTGGAAGTTATAACGGACCCCAGGAGCCTGCTGGAGGTTACAACGGTCCCCAGGAGCAGCCTGAAGTTTACGGTCGCGAGCGGAGTCCGTCGGGCGCGCACGGCGGCAAGGCGGCGCCGCAGTACGGGCCGCCGCGGCCGTACCAGTTCCAGTACGGCGTGCAGGCCGGTCCGTACGGCGGCGCCATGTTCTCGCGCACCGAGAGCAGCGACGGCAGTACGACACGCGGCAGCTACTCGGTGCTGCTGCCGGACGGCCGCACCCAGCAGGTGCACTACGACGCCGACCACCGCGGCTACGGCGGATACAAGGCGCGCATCACCTACACGGACGCGCAGAAGGCGTCACAGAAGGGGTACGGCGCCCCACAGCAGCAGCATCAGCAGCAGCAGGGATACCAGTAGACAAACAACGTCGTGGTCGCAAAGGAGACGAAGTCAGGTGATAATGATGTAAGCGTAATAAGTAATAAGTGGAGGTTGTGAGCGCCACAAGCCATTGTCGTTGATGAGCTAAGAAGATCGTTACTGTCGCATCAAACTAGATGTATTTCGAAGTCTTTCACTCAGTGTTGTCATATGAGCTCAGAAACTAATGCTAGTTGTTATGAAATGTTCATGAACGTGTTGGCGCATGTGTATTTCTACGGAAACCGTGTATATTTACTGGCTTGTTAATAAACAGCAATATGCATTTCTAAGGCGTGGGCAATATTTGACCGGCAGTTAACCATATGCCAGAGCGAGTGACAATCATTTAACAGACTATGATGAAATAACAGTCCTTCAAAGCCGATGAGATTTTCAATGGTCGCCACAGAAAACATTTTCTATGTAGATGGTTGTAATTAGTCGCTGGTAGGCGGGTATTCCACCGGTTTGTTCAATCACTTGATGTGTCTGAATTTTTAGTAAGGTATAGGACGAAAGTGAAATCACGGAATTTCCATATCTGAGCCCTCAATCGAGTTGGCACTAATCTGCACCAACTCAACTTCATACCGAATTCACGACGATGCTACCCTTGTCACATTCTCTCTGCCCGTCGCTATAACTGTTATCTTTCCTGTCAGCGGCCTATTACAGCTCTCCAGCGCCCTCCCTGTCCTCATCGCTCCCTTCCCGATCCCACTCCTCCCTCCCCCGACCTCACCACTCCATCCCGATCCCACCCGTCCCCCTCCCCTGACCTCACCCCTCCCTCCCTGACCCCACTCCACCCCGTCCGACTGACCGCGGCGGCGGCGGTGCGCGCTCCGGTGTCGGACGCGTCGGCCGGCGGCTGCGGCGTCAGCGCCGTGAAGTAGCGACGCGCCACGGCCACGCGCTGACGTATGCGCAGCGCCGACAGACAGCTGAGGCTGGCCTGCGCGGCCGCGGCCATCTGCTCGCGCTGCAGGGTGCGCAGGCAGGCGGCCAGCTGCTCGGCGGAGGGCGAGTCCGACCACTGCCATGGCTGCAGCTGGGGGACGGTACAGGGTGGGGGTTAGCACACAGATACATGGGGAGAGGTAGCGTGAGGTCCGAGGAGCCATACAGAATCAAACCACCTCAACTAAGTTCATGACAGGGTCTAATGTCTCACATAATCCTGCCACCTGAGCATAAGCGGCATAGCCAGCTTTAATCGTTTGCATACAAAAAGGCTCGAATTTATATGAAAAAAAGAAGCATATTCGATCTAGCCATCAGATCAGCGTCACACTACCCCTGCCGCACCTGATCCCCACCGTAAACCCACCTGAGCACGTGATGATAAGGCCGGCTCGTCACTCTCCGTTCCCTCCGCTCCGAGCTCGGCGTCCAGCTGGCGGCAGGGGCCGCAGTTGCAGCCGTAACCTGGGCCGCACAGCCCGTCGCAGCACGGGCACGTCAAGGAGCGAGTGCCGCAGTAGAAGTGGCCGCTCTCGCCTGGAGATGTAGGTAGGCATAGGGGGTAAGTTGGGAGTGATGAGCAAATGGATTATTTGGAGCAGGCAAAACTGTTTGAACAATGACATGAAAATGCTGTGGTGACCACAAAGTGCATTGTCAACAATGTAACATACCTACAGCATACATATTGCTTTGTTTTTTTTTACCAAAATACTCTCTGGCCTCTGCCTATCAATCCACTCTTCCTAATGCCCCTTAGGAAAGCAACCTCCTCTGGCTATATCAGCTTTCCTCTTCAACCCCTCCACACACCTCTCCTGGCGACAGCTCCAGCCGAGTTGATCACGCCATCGGTGAAGGCGCCAGTCAGCTCCCCATCTGTCAGCATCTGATTCCAGAGCCGACAGAGGCCGTCACGACTGAACACCTCCTGTATGTCTAGCTGCTGCCAGCGGGCATCCAGGTGGCGCTGGCAGCGCAGGGTCACCCCGCCGCTGCTGCAACCACCACTGGTGCCGGCCCCAGAGGCGCTCATAGCTGGGTGAAGAGCACTAGGAGGGTGGCAGTTTTCCCATCGTCACCTGAAGGTCAAGTGCCAAAGTGAGAGATAAGTAAATAATGAAATGACTGCTGCAGCTGTAGATTCAATTGTAAAATATAAAGCATTGAAATGTGCTGAGAAGCCAAAAACAATCAATTTGCTTAGCACTTTCAGGTGAACTGTTGATGTCAATGTTCAGATTATGTTTTGTATCTTGTGAGTTTTTTTCTGACAGAAAAATCACAAGCCACATGATTATTTATTATTCAGCCTTAACTTTGCAGAAAAGCATCATCAGCATCATGTTAAAGGGCTGCTGATTTGAAACATAGGATTTAACTGGTCTGATATTATTTTTCACATCAGCTGTAGCCTGTAATTTTTGCATTAATGCCAACATCTATGAGCTGCAGAGTTTTGAGGTCATCTGTAGAGTTCATCTGTGAGCTGGTTTACATGTCGGCAAAACTAGCCTCTGATTGACTTTATTATGACTAATCAGCATGAGAGCTGAAAATGATTTTGACGTGTCTCACAAGTGTGTGCCCATTGGTTCCGAGTGACATAAGCGTGACTGTTCCACCAACCACCCAGCGGCCCAGCCATACCAATAATGGTCTAGTGAAAACCTGATAAGCACCCTATCTTCGATTATCTCTTTCAAACATAGTTTATATTCCTTTCCAGCTCAATTTTAATTGTTTGGAGCTTTGAGTTGAATTGAGACGATCATGAAATTGACCTACCATGAGAATTGAAAATGAACGTCTTGATCCTGGTACCATGAATGGCACGAAGCACCTAATTACTGAGAAAAAGCAATTAGCTACACTAGGCAATAAATAACTACTAAGTATTTATCATGAAAATTGAAGTATTCGTCGCTCAGCAAAGCAAACCGACCGACCCAAACAAAACACAAATCGCACGTTTTCATTCATTGCTGCCAGATGAAGCGATATGGAATCCATTTTTCTGCTGAAATCCCCAACGGTAAAGTAAAATACTTCACATGACTTGAGATACGTGGCCCTCAAGTCTCACCTAAAACGATTCCTAGGTCTTTATTTCTATGATTCCTAGCACCATCTTATTTTTCTTACCTCAAGATAAAGTTAGCTTGAAATATCTACGACACGAATTATGGTTCTCCACGTTTTTGGTTGTCAGTTTTTTCCCACTAAGCTCCGCAGTCCGCATTATGCAGTAGGTACCGTCCATTGTTCTCATCACAAACAAGGTTTCTTAGGTTCCGTTTGTCTTCATTAAATGTCAATAAGGAATGCATTTGTAGCCTCACGACAGCACAGCTTACAAAATCAAACTAGCGGTGACAACAGGAACGTCTAGCTGTCGACACAGGCGACAGATGGCTCCACCAGCGGCGGCTGCCGAGCGCAATCTCACCACCCCGGCTCCTGAAAGACGGCCACCGGCGCCGGACGAGCGACCTTCGTTGCAAACAGACCAGAATACTTTCCAGTGACGGGACACAACTCGACAAGACATGCAGTTGGCACAGCGAGCAGGTACAATAAATATACAGAAATCATTGTGATCTTAACGGAAACCGTCGGCAAGTAACATGTCGATGCGATGTGCCTTTCTAACTACAAAACATATACGTAATACCGTAATTGGTGATGACAATGCCGTGGCATGTGCCTAAAGCTGCGTCCGGTGCCTATCGCCGTAGGCACCGTCTCGACTAGGTGCACCTGTTCTAAATGAGCTCTGGGTAAAACATAAACATCATCTGCAACTTAAATAACGCGGTGCGTAGACAACCTAAAACACTGCGATCACATTACGCACATGGCTTGGCAAGGTCTGGGCGCGCTTTGAGCCCGCAGGGGCCGACCGCCACGCGCTCCGCCAGCGCCACCGCAGACACACCCACCGACTGTAAATACTCGGTGGTAAGCGCGCGGGCCGACCAGACAAGCACACCAGCCCGTGCCGACCGCATAGTGAGCCATCACAAGAGGTAAAATTCAACAATACATCACATCGAAGACTAGACGGCCGGCGGCGGCAGCGGCAGCGGCGGACAGGCTCTCTAGAAAGGAGGCCAGTTGAAGCCGCCGGCCGGCCGGCGGCCGCGCGTGGGTCCCGTGCGTCCGACCTCTGCGCAGCTACAAGCCCTGGTGTGTCACCACCTGGGCGTCGCTGCTGGAGCGTGAGCCCATCTCAGCAAAGTGGACGCCCTCGGTCATCCGCTCGCCGACCACGTTTTCACGCCGCTCGCCGAGCCGGCTGCGCGTCAGCGAGTTAAGCTCGTTCAGTTTTCCGAGCAGGAACTGTTTGTCGTGGCCCTCCAGCACCAGCTGCTCTTTGAGCACCTCGATCATGTGTTTGTTGGCCGCGGCGATGGCAGAGTAGTAGTACATCGCCAGTAGAAGGATGATCACCAGCGGCACCGCGAAGCCCGCCGAGCCGAAGTAGTAGAAGAAGTTCCGCAGCCAGGCGGGCAGCTCGTCCACCGTCTTCTGAATCTCCCGCCACATGGTGTCGAGGCCGCGGTACGGTCCACACGAGCGAGACGGCCGGATCTCGGCGAGTGAGAACACCACGATCAGTAGCGAGGCGAAGAAGGAGAACAGCGAGACGAGCATGTAGAACGCCGACGAGCGGATCGAGTGCAGCGACAGCGTCGGCGGCGTGCAGACCCGGATGCACGTGAACCGCTTCAGGTAGAAGAAGAGGAAGCACAGCAGCGCCGCCACGCCCGGTAGGAGTGGCGAGAAGAAGACTCCCAGCCAGCAGAGCGCCTGGTTGTACACCACGTCCAGCACATGGCGCGGGATCTCAAACTCCTGCAGGAACAGCGTGCGCAGCCACGCCGCCGGAAAGTGGTCGATGAATATGCGCAGTGGGAAGTAGACGAAAATGTTGAGTCCGGCCAGCGCGGCGAAGTCGGTAAGCATGAGACGCCAGCACATCTGTCCGACCACAGTCTCCCAGCAGGCGTTTCTCTGGCAGCCGTCCGCGTAGCAGGCGTCGGGGTCCAGCCGGCCCTCGCACTGCGCCTTGTACTTGACAAAGAACGAGTACATGAGCACTGCGATGGAGGCGACGCGCAGGAACACAGTCCGCAGCAGGGTGAGCGTCACCTGCACCTGCGGCGTGTACCGCTCCAGCGTCACGATGTGGTACATGAACATGGTGACGACGATGTTGAGCCCGGAGACGGTGAAGGGCGGCAGATACTGGTAGATGTAGAGCTCGATGCCACTGTCTGCATTCTCCACGTTGACCAGCGAGTACTGCACCACGAAGTAGATGATGACGCCCGAGATGATGAGGATGACGGTGACGATGATGTTGGTGACGGTGCGGACCACGTACAGCTGGACAGTATCCATCTGACTGCGGTTCCGCCGCTCCGCCTCGTACTGGTCCGTCTCCAAGTAGCCCTTCAACTCGTTAAACACGGCCTTCTGCTTGTACTCGGCCGAGCTGACGTTGTCGATACAAAAGTCCCACGCGCTGAAGATGACGTTGCAGTACTGGTAGAACTTGCCGCGCGACAGGATGGCGTCCTGGAAGCCGTGCGCCGTGTGGATGACCACGTAGACCAGGCAGAGCAGCAGGCAGACGAGCGTGACAAGCACGTAGGCCAGAGGCAGGTTGTAGTAGATGCTCGTGTGCGGCGCCACCAGAATCTCGTTCTCGTAGTAGCCGTAGAAGAGCGGCGTCAGCTCCATGTAGCCCTGGCCCTGCAGGAAGTCCATGAAGGCCTGCGCCACGCCGCGCCACCGCATGGCCGTCACGTTGGCCACGTACTCCTCGTGGCAGCAGGCGGTGATGGTGGCCGGCCGGTCGTCGTCGTCACAGTGCTCCGTGTGGCTGGGCGGCAGCAGCGCGTTGGGCAGCACCACCAGCAGCAGCATCGCCGCGAACATGGCCAGGTTCATGTACATCACCTTCTTGATGTAGTGGAAGTAGGAGAGCACGCCCGTGCCGAAGTTGCCCTCGATCAGGCGGAGGGAGTCGTGCCACAACTCGAACGAGAAGATGTCGACCATGGCGTCTTTGAAGCGTGACCAGAACTTCTGACGGGTGAGGTGAAACCGCTGCATGCCCTGCATCCGAAACGTAGGAGAATTCTGAAAGCAGACGAATTGATAGATTAGTCAAGTGCCAGATATAACAGACCAAACACTCAAGTACTGATCCCTGCCAAGTGTCATTCAGTATCACCTATATGGGGATACATGTAAATGTAAAAGAACTGAAGTGAAGCGATAAGATATTCCTACCACAACGGGTTATTGTTCCATTGATATCCAACACTCGACAGCCTCGTCAATATCAATGTTAATTGATGTAATTATTTGCTTGGGCCAAGATGGTAAAGTGTCAAACACTTACTAAGATTATCACACTTATAAACATAAGCCTCAAAAGCGATCACACAAAATGATGGTCGTGCGGTGATCGTACCAGCAGTTTGTTTTTGCGTTCCCTCTTCTTATCCATGGGAATGGGCATGGCCTTGATGGCCTGAATCTGGTCCCAGATCTGCTGTTCGTCCGGTATTTCTGCAACAAGGAGACAATGACGTCATTATCGAGTGACGTCACGGGTCCGGCTATCTATCAGCCGTTCCCGAGAAAAAGAACAAAGTCTGACGCATGATACATTTCTGTGGACAGGACGACTGACAGATGTCGGGTAGAATAACAAACACACTGGCAAAAGCGACCAACAGGGATGACGTCACGATACAACGGTTTGGCAGGTGGATACACAAATGACGTCGCTGCCCGGTAGACTTCACAGGTAGGCACGGTTGTCATTTGTAACACCATATTAATTATCCTGTTGCTGAGTAGCTACCAACCATTTGTTTTGAAAGGAGACAAGAGTCCAAGACACGGTGACTGCCAGTCATCGAGCGGATTTCCGAGCAGAAATAGATCATATGGCGCCGCTCTGCCGACGGCATATCACAGCGAAGTGACAGCTGAGGAGCGGTGACGACACCCGGAACCGGTCCGCCCAGCAACCGCCCGACCCGCGGCGATTGTCCTACACCGGTGCCGGCTTCAAAAACCGCAGGTCGGGTATATGTACGGGTCGGGTAGAAAACGACACAATATTACGTCGAAGAATTGAAACTTTTGTATGTATCGAAGGTGAGCATGGTAATTTGATTCGGAAAATTAGGGATGGAAATCAGCCGTGAACATAAGTCACTCACGGGCATTGCCCTTGAGCGACTGTGGCGATCAACCAAGCATTGCAATGAAAGTTGCAATTGTGTTGCGTCCATGCAAACTCTTATAGTCCGCCTGTCCCGTCGCGGTGCGGGTTTCGAGGCAGTTCCGTTATTCGCTCGACGCTAGCATCGCGATTTATCGGCAGGGCGATGGACTGTATACACCGCTCCGTGGCTTATAACCGCATGGATGGGCCGCACTGGAGCGGAGGGGCGGAGCAGGTGCGGAGACCGGAGCCGGTGTCGGTCACATCCGGGTACCGAGCGGCGGGCCAGGGGACGGGACCGGCCAGTCAGGGGTTCCCGTCTACAAGGTCCGTACACTTCTGGTACACACTCGTCGGTTCCTACGACGTGAGTCGATTATGTAACAGTGTTATTCAGATGGCAAATCCTAGAGTGGAAGCGGTCCCTGTGCGCTGCGGCGAGTCGATAACGTGAAGACTCGGCCAATCATTACCCGTGTGCAACCACCAGAACTATAACAGGCTTACATTGTGTGAATTCGTACAACTATCGAATCATGTGAACTAAATCAGTGACCGCTCCATCGGGTCGGGTCTGGATTCCAATGGCAAATGCCTGCCTGGTATGCCTAAAATCGTCAGCACCACGACCAAAGTCAACAGAAAGAATCGTGGGCTGCTCCGTCAC